ATTTGCCTGCGTTCACATCCTGCATTCCGCGCCACGCCTCCCGCCCAGCTGACACTCAATAAATCAGCGAAATGTGCGAGCAAAATAATAATTAATGGGCCAAAGGGGCAACTGGGGAAATGGGGAAATGGGAAAAGGGGGTGTGAGCGGAATGATGCATGAAAATTTGTGAAAAATTACACAATTTCCGCACACCCAATTATAATTGCCAGCGAACCGAAATGAGCATTGCACTCTTAGTATGCAGCACATGTAGAAAATGAGTTAAGTGTTAGCCATCCCACCAGCGGAAGCAGACAACACTTGGCTTAATTCCTATGCTCCACCGTCAGTCCGTCAGTTAGTCAGTCCGTTTGTCTGACTGTCGGTTTTTCCGCTTTTCCCCGCTCCTTCGACTTCCCGCCTTCATTGGCCGACGCTCATCATCATTTGGCACAGCCGCATGTTCAATATGATTCGTGACATGTTAGGGAATTAGTACTGGAACCACCCACCACCACCCACTACCACCCACCGGTCCGCCCACCCATCCACCCACCCAAACACCCGGGAGCAGTCCAAGTTCGGGTTGCTGGCCACGTGCGCCACATGTTTGTCATGCCAAGTGGCGCCAAGCGGCCTCATTAATGTGAGTTGCTTTAAGTTTTATTTATTTATTATTGGACTTTTTCCGGGTCGCTCTGTTTTTCTTTTTCCCCGCTCGCTGGCTTGATTCCCTGCTGTTTTTCCACGGATTTGTGCTGGCTAATTGCTTTTTGTTTGGCCCCAGAATCGAAACTAGCTCGAGTAAACTGATTGAAGCTCCCCAAAAATGTCGGTGGGTGGATAAAGTGGGTAAGCAATTACCAGTTCGGATATTTTTGGGCTACCAAGACAATTTAGGACATCGGATTGTCTGTAATAAAGATAACTAAAATGCTCAACAATTATGTTAACATATTTCATAAAAAATCAATTTTAAACTTCAAAGAAAACGCTTTAGTTGCATAAAACTCTCACCTTTTGCCATACTCAACGGATTCACGATATCGAGTATACGACGTGTGGACGCCACGAGTTTGCCAAGTGAAATAGCGATAGCCAGCGATGGGGCACGCAGAATAGTTGTTGCAAGCTCTTCTTGTTTACAGTTTGCATCTCACAGTGTTGCGGGCCGAAGTTTGAGGCGTGTCTGGTTTCTACACGAGTCCCTGGTCTCTTATCATGTTAGTTGGGGCTTTATTGCCCCGAAATAGTGGCTCAAGAAGTATTTGGTTACATGCCCCGGCATGCGGGTGTCACCTCTCCTCAGCTCCCCGCCCTCTTCCCCAGTCTCTTCGACTAATTTGTAAAATTATTCGCACGTACTTTCTTATTAGTTTGTTTTGCCTTGTAAATTTGTGGCCCGAAAACCGAAACTTTGGCGGAATCGCAACAAGAATTCATCGTTCCGGTTTCAGGGATTCCTACATATCTCTAGAAACATTGTGAAGTTTAAAAGGTTAAAGTTAAATTTATATTAAATGAAGTAACCAGAAGCTTTGAAAACTTTGCTAAAATTAAAGCCTACATCAAATAGATAATTCCGAATTTTATACGAAAATTAAATGCAAAAAACCTTAGCCCGCAGCAATTTTCAAGTTTATTTATTTGTCAAGGACCAGCGGCCGACCCACTCAATCAAGCGAACCGTTAAAAAACTCTCGGCGAAAAAACGAGAGAGTTGGAAAACCTTCAGACAACAGAAATTTCCATTTATCAAGCGGTATAACAGCGACATTTGATCAAGATATTAGCAAATGTTCAATTTATTTAGAAAAACCGCCGCAGCACATGGCCGAAAAAGCACACACAAAGGGAAAAACAAGCGCTGTGTGCAACACGGTAAAGGAAAAACCAAACCCAAACCCAAGCCCAAGCCGAAACCGAAAAATGCAAATCGAGCTGGGGGAATTAGTGACAGCCGAGCGGAAAGACCGACTCCACTTTCAGTTCCAGCTCTGCCCTCAGAGCTTTCCCAGTGTGACATTTGCAATTGACAGTCGCATCGAGTTGAGTTCTCAGTTGAGGTTTTCCGAGGACCCTGGCATTTTTTTTTTTCGGTGGGAGGGGGCAAAAGAAAGTCAACTGCAGCCTTTACGACCGTTCCTTCTGCTCTGCGACAATTTAAAACTGCGAAAGTTTTAAATGTTCGCCTAGCTTCTTTTTATTTTCAAGTTTTCCTTTCGTGGGGCTTTTTCCTTGCGGCAAAATGTCAAACTGCGGCCAAAGTTCGCGTGCAAAATGGCGTCCCAAGTGGGCGTGGCAGGGGCAGAGGGCGCAGGATGGCAGGCGGCTAACACGTGTGCAGTTTTCCAAAATACTTCTTTAAATTCGCCCCTTTTCTGCGATTAATTTGGCCGAGGAGGTAGTTTAAGCTGGTTAAGATAGCTTCACTGCACAGTGGTAGTGGGATATTTGCTGAATTTGAAAAGTAACAAATACTGTTCGATCTCCTCAAGTTAAGTTGATAACAAGAGCATTATTATAAAGGTAAACTAATGATATCTCAATGACCTTACAATTCTTGTTGCTTAAAATACTCTTGTTGGCAACTTTAATTTTCATTAGATTTTCAGGCACTTTACAGATATTACTATTAATTTATTAACAAACAAACCACAGTGCCTTTTTTCAGGTGAGAAGGGGACTGCAGCACTTACTTTTAATTAGCAAACAAAACGAAAACGAAATCGTAAATGAAATGCCGCCGAAACCACCCAGAAGTATGCAAAACTTTTGTTATTGTCGCCAAATAAATTTCACCAATGCGCCGGGCGTGGGCGTAGGGCGGAGTGGGCGTGGCTGGTCCTACAAATACGCAAAAATTGAGGGAACGAGGGGGAAAACAACAAGCGGCTAACAAAAAGTTCCACCGACAGCAAAATTATGTGGCGTCAAATGCGGCGCGTCGCCTGAGGGAAAACCGCCTGCAACCGGAGCCGTGGGGGAGTTGTAGGAGTGGGCGTGGCCAGGTGGTTTTCCCACCTCCTTTTCCCTTCCCCCACCTCCGGTGCGGTTGCCGTCGGGCTGAAATTTATGCTGCTGTGTGAAATTTTACGCGACAGGTGGAAAAATAAAAGCAACAGCAAAAACTGCAGCAAAAAGTTGCATGCAAATTTCTAAATGGAGAAGGAAGTGCTCCAAGTCTGTCTGAATATCCCTTCTTCTCGGCCCTCCTCCGCCAGGATAAATCCACTTAAATATTTAAAAGGACGGGGAAAAGTCCTCGCGGACGAGGGCAATACGGCAAAGTTCCTTCAGCTGTCCGGGTTTCCTTCGTTAACACTTGATTAGCGGCGTTTCTTGACTTCAAGAGGGTGGTTGGGTGGCTGAGCGGTGGGTGGGGTTTCCATGTTAACACTTGCCCACAACAACTGTCCTCATTAGGGAGAAGGGTTCCAGCTCGTGAATGGCAACGTAAATCATCAATTAAAACAAATTTTCCATTTGGGGGCAATGTCTGAAATTAATTTTTAAAATGAAATGTTTTTGTAAATTATGAGGGTCACTTGAAGTGGGTCCAAGTGAGATGAAATAGGTGGGGAAAATGGCAAAAGGGGTTGTTGAAGGGAAGGAGGAACTTTTAAATTGAGCATAAAATAAAAAAAAATAATCAACAGGAGTAATGGTTAAGTTCATTTTAATGCATTCTCAAGAAATTTATTTTCTTCCGCTTCACAATAATCTGCCTGTAATGGTTACGAAGATCGAAATAATAACTCGAATTCCTCTGTAATTCGTCACTCAAAAATCTTAATAAGGCCACGATAATTGTCAGTTAATGCAAGCTCTATTTCTAAGTTGGCCACTTGCACTGCAAGTGGTAATTGCAACTCAGTGCCAACCTCCGATAACCTTAGACCTGCTGCCTGATTTTCGTTGGCTTCCAGGAAAACGTTTACCCAAACCTACCCCAATAATTGGGGGGCATATAAATTACGGGAATAAAAACTGAAATTGCTGCAAAAACAGAAACACACTTAAAACACACACACATACACACACACACACATTCCCCTACAAACAAAACCAAAGCAAAACCGGAATATTTATGAACGCACCACGCGACGAGGGAAAGCGAAAATGCGCCAAACTGAGTTACGGACGAATTTCGAAGAGAGGGAAAAGGGGAAGTGGAAAAGGGGAAGGGAAATGGAAATGGAAAAGAAACCAGGACCAACGAACCAAGTCCGAGCTCCTGTCTACCCTCTCCTGCACACACATATAATTTTCCTTCTGCCCGGCAATGTTTGCTGGCAGATAAAGCAAATGGCAAAAGTGTTTTCCATGCGCGATCGATAAACACGGCGCCAGCAAGGCGGGACAAATTTTCATAGTTCAAGTGGCGCCTAGGAAAACCCGGCGAACCCACCAGCCAACTGAAATGTGGCCAAAGGCAGGCGGCAGTAAAAATTCAGCTCCGAGGCAAATAAATGCGATAAAAATTATTGCGGAAGTGCGCAGGCGAAAAAAAGGAGCAACAGGAACGGGAACGGGACTGACGCATTTTCCTGCCCTGTTTCGGGCCGCTCTTTTGCACCTCATCATCAGCTGGGTCCTTTGTGATTCGGTTGAATCATCGCCAAGGACGAGGACCGAGAATTGATATCACGTGTCAGTCCGCCGTCAATGTCACTCAGTCACTTCCTCGCAAGCCAAAGCCGAAGGACTCCGCCGGCAAAGGACTCCTACTCGGAGTCGAATAAGCCGCGGATCTGATTTTATTTTACGATTTAGGCGTGTGCTGGCTTTTAACTGCTCCCAAATTAGTTACCAAAATTAACTTGTCTATTCGCGTGGATTGCTGTTTTATGGTTTTCGCTAAGAAAGGCGATTTGGACTCTTTTTGATGTTGTCATAAGACGATTGTGAGTGCTAAGGGTTCGGGCATAAAGATGAGTCATGGGAAAACTGTCAACACCGATTTATTATCAACGGTCTCGGATTATTAAATAACTTATCGTCACCGAATAAAAATATAGCCTCAAACTCGTTCTTTTCTTTAATAGGGAATAAATTTTTAAATCTTCACTAAAATCCCTATATTAAAATGTATATACAACTTTAATGCTGGATGCCGAAATTGGTATATAGACCACTTTTTCCGTTTTCATATAGAGTATTTGGAAATTTTACTCTGATGATGGTGATTTTGTGAAGTAGATTTATTGACTCTTTCAAGTCGAAATTTTACAAGTTTTCAAGATTCTTTAGATGCTTCAAGAAGAAAATGGCCATTTCCACATCTGACCAGTGGCTCTGCTCATTTGTGGCAATAGCGTTCAACTCCCGAATGGTTTCGTGCTCAATTAAGTGGGCCACATCAGCCAGAAGTTCGGCCAAGAGACTTCGGAAACGATTCATTGGACTTGGTAGTATTTTGCCTTCATTATTTGCTTGTATTCTAGCTCGGGAGAAGAGAATCTTTATGAGTTGCACGAAGTAGGGTCGGTATAAAGTATTCAATTCCGAATTGGACTGGTCGAACAAATCGGCTGAGAATAGACACCAAGTGCGCATTGAGGTTTCGATTACCAGAATCGGGCAATGTGTTGCTATGAGCAACAATAACTCGATAATTTCCAATCGCTCCTGGATCTTTAAGGCATCCCTTTTTGTTAGCAAATAATGCGTTTCGAACAGATTCACAAAGATGTGGCAATAGTTTTGCAACTTCTCGCTATCGCCCATGGATCTTTCGAATGCCGGTTTCAGGGAGATGAGCATCGTAAACAATAATTTGTCCGGGTTTTTGTGGACCAGGCATTGCTCCAGCAGGGCGACCATCAACTCCGCCGACTCAAAGTGTCCTTCAGCTATCGGGGTACTTAGTACAGCGAATGACCAAGGGAAAAGGAAAGAGTCCAGCACTCGGTCGGGTGATAAGAACCCATTACTTGTCCAGGATCCGCAGACAGCTAAGCATTTGTTCGCGAAGCCTTTTGAGCGCTCCATCCGCTCGTGAATCTCTTCCACCACTTTTAAAATGTAGGATGAAGTACGACGGAGATGCTCCAAAACCACTTCTGCTGGGCGAAAATTGGGTGCGTTGGCTTCTTCTGGCAGGACCCTCAGGACCTCTAAGAGAGCCATTATGTAATCGGGTTCCCCAGACATTAGCTGCACAAAGGCGCCCAGTTCTTCCAACCAGTGTGGATTCATCAGGACCAAAATTGAAAGGCACTTGGCCAACTGCACAATCAGAGTATTGGATCCCGGAATCTTGGCGGCATTTAGAAGGTGATTGACCAGTCTTCCTCTTAAAACATCTGAATCGTACATTGTCAGCAAACAAATATCATATTGTATCTTCTTGGACAAACTGATGGCAGCAAAGGTTTGGATGTGCATGGGCTGATGAGAGAAGTCGGACAGAATTTCCTCGGCAACATCCCAAGCTGTCACTGAATTCTGAAAGGAACGCAAGAATCTGTCGGCTGAACGGTCGCTACCCTTGCTCAATTTATCAAGTGCATCGATGACATTTTCCTTAGTGAACTGGCTTTCCATTCCAAATATTCGATTATATTTCTTCGGTCCGAAAGCGATATCTTGGTGTGGTCAGAAATATCGCAGTTCTCGGAAGTCTGCAGGTGTAAAATTCAGAAAATAAAAAGATGGCACGTGTAAAGTGTATATAAATAAGTTCAAAGTGTATAATCTCAGGTTACTGACAGTTTGTTTTGAAAGAAAATCAAACCCGCTTGCTGAAGAAAACGAAATCTAAAATATTTGAGATGAAAAACCATTTAGCAATTGTTTTGAAGTACTTCAATAAAACATGTACATTAAAAGTTTCAGTAGACATGAGCTCCGGAACCCCAACCTTCATTCAGCAGGGCAATCAATTTCCCCGTCGTTTTTCCAATAAATGCATTGCGTTGAGACAATAAAACTCTATGAAAACTAAACAAACAAGGGACTTGAACCCATCGAACACACAGATATGTGTCCAGATTGCCGCAACTAACGTTTGCCCAGTGCAAATATTTACCCTGTCGTCTCGATTCGCAGTTCGGAACGCCTCTCATCACGCACAAACGCACAAATTACGGGGGGATGGCACAAATCGGGGGCGGGGAGGTGGAAAATGCCTTGACCAGCGCGAACAATAAGCAATAAAATTATATGCCATATTATACACATACACTCGCCCAGCAATCCACTCACACTCGCGGCAATATAATTTTGAAATCAGTTAAGTGTTGGCCAGGCAGGACTGCACACAAAGAAAAAGAGTGGGCTTTCGAATGGGGAAAGGATATTTTTATTTATGCTTACCATAAACAGAAATATTATTATTTAACCATCTTATACAATTTAAAAATAAAATAAGTAAATGATTCTCATTCAATCTTTACTCATTCAAGTAAATCCTTTTCATTTGCATGTTTTTTGGGTAGCAAAGTTTTAGGCTTCTGGAAAATTCTACAAAATATTTTGAGGATTCTGCGTTATTTTTCCAAGTACATAGTACAATCCCCAGTCCAGACCATCGAAGTCTAAGTTCTCGTCCTTCCCTCGGTCGGCGGGTCTGTCCTTTATTGTCGCGCCGTGTTGGGCGAGGAGTACATTAAATGCGCATCATAAATTTCATTACATTATTATGGCGTTGTTTGCGACAACAGCGAGCGCCGTTAGCCGGATTCGACTACTTTATTGGATCGCCTCCTCTGCAGCGCCGTCAAATCGCATAAATAAAACTATCCGATTCTATTGTCTATCCATCTGCCAACAGTCCCCGTCTTTATTAATGCACTAATTATGGGGCGTGGGGGCACGCCCACTGCAATGCATTTTGTCAACATAATTTATTGGGCCGGTTCGGGTTTTTTCCCAAAACTTCTCCAAGGACCCGGGCACACGCCTTTATTTTGGCAGGCCAAACAGTATTGGGAGGGTCAAATAACCGAATTGCGTAGGAAAATTATTGTGCCTTGCCAAAATTTAAACAAAGGCGCGGCTGTCCTCGTTGTCCGGGAAATTGATTGCTTGGCACTCGCCGGCGACAAATGGCAGTGAACTTATGTCGATAGAGCTGTATTATGCTATCTGGGTTTCTGGGGGAACAAATACATATAAAATTCTTGGGTAATATGTACTTCGAGTTGGAGTTCCCGCCGTAGCTTCAACAGGCATCTTAGTATTATTAGAAAATAGATTATTATATAAAGCGAAAAGGAATGTGGCAAAATGTACACCTTAGTTGTAGACAAAACTGAAAAGAAAACGTGAATAACGTGTCCTTTAAACAAGTTTTTACACACATGAAAACACTTTCACTACAACCCGCCACTGCAGCAGGAAAAAATGGATATATGTTCGGCGAACTAGAGCACAAAACTTAATTTCCAGCCAAACATTGTTACGCTGCAGTGCCGTCGAGAGCGTCAGACAACCGCAAGAAAAGCCAATCAAGCTTACAAGCTGACCGCTTACATGACAGGACCCATAACAGGACCAGCATGCATCCCCTCCATCGCGCCGAGAAAGTAAGGGCGAAAGTAATTTGCAAGCCACTTTGCAGGGCCACAAAACGGGGACACTGACAAGAGCTGTAGGAATAATTGAAAAATTTGCACTACATAGAAAATCGAATTATGTAGAAAGTGACGATGGCGCAGGAAATATCAATTAACAGAAAACAAGAGCAGAACCCTATTAAAACCTTATTTATCCTGGCCCAAAAAAAGCGGATAAAAAGGAAGCCAGCTGTAGGCAAATAATGTGGAAGAAGTTTGCACAAACAACCCTCGCTCGAACTGGGAAACAAGTGGAGTGCAGTAGCTGCAGAATTAATTGCTTTATATGGCGTGATAATTTATTGAAGCCCACGATGACCAACATGGGAGCGAAGGCAAGGTCCTGGCCGAAGTCCTGGCCGGCATCCCTCTCGTCCTGCCAGGGATAACACAAGTATTATGCCGGCAACGAGGCGTAAGGGTCAATCACATTAGAGACATGCGATTCGAGGGTGGTTCGTCCTGGCCCTCGTCCTTTTCCCAACTCCTTGGTCAAGGGTTGCCCTCTGCACTCTGCAATCTGATTATGTGTGCGGAGGAGGGGCGGGTAATAAGTTTTTCCCTGCATAATAAACATGCCAAGGTACTCTGTGTTTGCCATGATGTTTGTGCCACTCTGGAAATACATGGTTTTTGCGTCTGGTTAACTGCGTGAGCGAAGTTAGTTAGCCGCTTTCGATTTTATGTGACGATAACGTTAAGTGATCTTCAACAAGAGTTTTTCTATTTGACTATTTTATGACTCATGTCAGCAGCTAACCTATATGTGTTTAAAATAGTTAAATAATTTTACAGATTTTATAGCGCATCCGCACTTCTCCAACATTTTACTGCGATACATATTTTGTTGTGGAAATATTTTGCTTTGCCCCAACGGATTTACGCACTTTACTCAACCGAGGGTCCTTTGTCCTGCTCGAAGGTATGGTATGAATATAATCAGCGCATTCAATCGACTTAATTTCATTATGAATACGGAGGCAGCTAAACGCTGCCCTCTCACTCTTTGTGCCACGAATTTCTTTCGCCGCTTGGCCCTGGCTGAGCTCATAAATAATCTTGCCAACTTGTCGGACAGGACACTCGCCGGTAGCTCCGGTTTCCCCGCTCCAGTTTCCCCGCTCCGGTTTTAGCCACCAACAGCTGCTGGCTGCTCGAGTTGCAGCGACCCCGCTCCTGCCCCTCGGCCGCTTTGGCCGCTGTTGACAAACAAATATGAAACTAATCCCTGGTAATTAGTGCGCCAACTTTTGCTGCATTTTGAGCCAGGAAAGGACACAAGGACTCATGGACAGGGACTTGTAGTCGCTGCTGTCGCCGCTGGAGAGGGACTAGTTCGCTGGTTGCTCTTTCGGCATCTCGGTGCCAGATACACTGGGCAAATTTTACATTCATTTAGTTTACATTATATTTTTTAAGCAACCAGAATATATTTTTACTATACAAATTTTTAAAATTAAAGCATGCAAGATCTGTTGACTTCATTTGGTACTTATACATTAAGATAGCTTTACACAATTTCCCACAGTGTATGCCTAGCTCCTGGTCATAGGAAGTTAGTAGATTCCTTATGCTTTCTGCTTTTTGCGGTTTTCCCGGTCGCATCTCGTTGTTTTTTTTTTTTGTGCTTTCGTTTTTGTGGCGGTGTCGTCGTTATTTTTATTGGAAAAGTTAAGCTTGTGTTTTGATAGGTTTCAGTCGTAAAGGGATTAATTAGTGCGGACTTCGCACCAGCGGCTCCGCCAACAGGATAAAGCCGGGCCAATGTCTGGGGTACAAGCTCAACATGCCGCCTCATGTCGCAATGCATAATAAAAGTTAAGCTGACTTGCATTGAGTTTCGGCGGAGAATGGGGTATGGAGTTGAATTTGGATACGTAAACGAGTCAAGTATTATTAAAACAAGTATTATTAATATCTTGTGCTTTTTCTGTTTTTAATATGGAAATTATACATGTTAGTAGTATATATTTGTTTTAAAACGTGTAGTTGCAATCGTTAGTTTAAACCAGTAGATGATATCTAAGAAGTCCATATTTTAACGCCAAATTGAATGTGGCTTAAAAATCTCTCACTCGCAGCTTGTTGAGTAGGTAAAGCTAATACTTTTTCAGGCGATCTCTAACTTGTCACGTTGAGCACTGTTACCACTTTTTATTTCACATTCGTTTCCAATTCAAAACTCAATTACTTTCGAAATTCCCCACATAATTCTTCATCTGGCCACTTGTCTTCAATGGAGTTTATTAATTTTATTTACCCCTTTACCGTCGACATTTCTGCGCTGAAATTCCAATGCTGCAGAATTTGCCGCTGTTTTTGCCGGCCGCTCGCCCCTTTCTTATCTTTTTATTATGAACTGCAGCGACAATTTTGCTAGCCATGTCAGCGCATGATTTACGAGGCCGTGGCGTACAAATGAAAATTGTACCAAAACGGGGGGACGGGCTCTGCCCGGACAGACAAACCTTTTTTGTGGCTCCGAAGTTTTGGCCACAAAACAGGAAGCGGAAATGAGTGCGCAGAACGACGATGGCGACATGTGAAATGTGCTTGCCACCAAGGAAGCGCACAAAAAACAAAAAGAGCAAAACGAGCAAAAAGCGGCACCAGCAAACACATGCAAAATAAACGGGTTCAAGTGCCGCTCGTAAAAACGGGAACGGGAAGTGCGGGCAGGGGGGAGCGGGGAGGGGGGTTTAAAAGCCAAAGGATAACTGTTGAATTGTTGGCCATAATAACAAGGCAGGATACTCCCATGTGTGTCTGTGTCCGCCTGCTCGTGGGTGTGTTTGTGTTCGCCTGTCGCGTAGCAACTTGTGGCTAGCTTAATAGCAGTTAACAGCAAACGAGAAGTGGGGCTTGCAGATGGGGTCAAAGGGCAGCACTGCGGGTCGCTTCCACATTTTTCCAGAGTTTGAAGGAGAACTTGTGTTGTGTAAGAATGCTTAATAAAGTGAATTTGCTTATTAAGCTGAGTAATTTCCATTCAATAAATTAATACAACAGCTTATTTATTAGATGATGATATTAAATGATTTGAATATTAAAACCCATACTTCACTTCTTGAAAAAAAGAAAGTACATTGATTAAAAGCTACCTAAATGCATAAAAATGGAACAGGAAAC